GGGGTCTGGATGTGTCCCTGGGGGAGGTCTGAATGTGTCCCTGAGGATCTGGATGTGTCCCTGAGGGGTCTGGATGTGTCCCTGGGGGGGTCTGGATGTGTCCCTGGAGGGTCTGGATGTGTCCCTGGATGTGTCCCTGAGGATCTGGATGTGTCCTTGGGGTCTGGATGTGTCCCTGGGGGGTCTGGATGTGTCCTTGGGGTCTGGATGTATCCCTGGGGTCTGGATGTGTCCCTGGGGGTCCAATTTCATGGAATCCTGGAACCACTCCCTGCTTCTGGCCTTTGTTTTTGCAGCTCTGAGGGTGGGGTTTTTTTGGCAATCCCGTTATTCCCGAGCTGGGACTGTCCTGGTGCTCTCCAGCCCCTCCTCCCTGTCCATCCCAAATCCTTGGTTTGTCCCTTTCCCAGGCTTACAACGCCAAAACCAAGAGCTTTGAGGACCCCCCCAACCACGCCCGGAGCTCTGGGAACAAAGGGAAGGGGAAGGGGAAGGGGAAAGGTGAGTGATCCCCCCCCATCCTGGAACAGCCTTTTTGGGGCCTTTCATCCTTTGGAAACCACCTGATCCTTGAGGGGTTTCACCCCCCAACCCTCTGCTCCGTAACCTCGGGCTTTGGATCCCATTCCCAACCCAGGGAGAGCCCTGGGAATTATCCCTGCCTCCATCAGCTCCTTGGGAATGCTCTCCCAGGCTGCTGGGGGGAAGAGGGGGCAGTGAGGGGCTTCCCTTCCCAATTCCGGGCGGGAAGAGGGTGGGAGGTGCTGGGCTGAGGGAGGAGGAGGAGCAGGAGGGAGTGACCTGGCCCTGGGTGTGGCTCTTCCAGGGAAAGGCAAAGGGAGGCCGGTGAGCTCCGAGCAGAGCGAGGAACAGGCCGAGCCCAAACTGCCCAAGTTACGGACCCTGGACGTGTTCTCCGGCTGTGGGGGGCTGTCCGAGGGCTTCCACCAGGCAGGTCAGTCCTGGCATTGCCCTCTGGGGTCCCATGTTCTCCAGACCCCTGTCCTCCAGATCCCTGTTCTCCAGATCCCTGTTCTCCAGATCCCTGTCCTCCAGATCCCTGTTCTCCAGATCCCTGTCCTCCAGATCCCTGTTCTCCAGCCCCTTCCTCGTGTTCTCCAGCCCCTTCCTCATGTTCTCCAGCCC